AGTTCTGCACTTGGGGCAGGCTTTGGCGTGTGCTGGCCAATCGTGGACTAGGGAGCACCTCGGGAATTAGCAATGCGCGTTTATTGGTGTGCCAGCGAGGTCGCTTCCCCAGACAGTAACTAAAGGAAAGCCTGCCTTGGTAGGCCAGGACCACAGATGGGACAGAAAGGAGTAGTGAAGGGTTCCCCGAGCCCAGCCGTCCTGTTCCCTGACTCCTACAAGGAGGACAGCCCTGCCCACCAGCCCCTTTGCCACAATGCTCGCCACAGGTCAGAAACAGAAAGTGAACTTGTCTTGGATTGTAACCTCATGAGCAAAAATTGTTTCTTCCTTCCTTAAGTGAGTTTATATATATATATATATCAGCAGTTAGAAGTCCAGGATGGGAGGAAGACTTCTGAAGCTAGAATGTTTCCAGGTGAAGGAACATGCTACAGTTTAGATGCTGAAGTACCCCGCCTGGGAGTACGGAGCCTGGCCCAGCTCCTGGCACAGTTTAAGCCAGCCTGCACTAAAATAAACATGGGACAGTAATGGGGTGGTCATGATCCTCTCAGGACACCAAATCCCCCCAAAAATAGACAAGAATGCTTGTGCCCTTTGGAACTAGCACCCCAGCGGGTGCTTGGTTTTGACTTGTACTTTGTCGTCCTTTGCCAAAGACTCAGGGAGGTAAGCCTCTCCCTTGCAGTCTTCTCTACAGTATTAGGGGCCCGCACTTCCAAGAGCATTGTTCGGCCCAGCACACGATGGGTGGTCTGAGCTGAGTGTCTTTGTCTATAAGGTGATTAAATGAGCACGCTGAAGCTCCCAGAGTCAAAGCAAGCAGATGGAGCACCTTCTCAGCCTCGCTGGTGTTTCCCACAAGAACGAAACTTCGGACAAACACCAAGCCCAAGCCCAGAATGACCTCCCTCCTCTCCTTTCACACTCCAGGTCAGCCACCATCCCCCATACCACTGCTTCTAGTCTGGCTTCCTGCTCTGAACGGCAGGGGCACATTCAAGTGGCTTCTGGATAGATCTACATCTATGGCCTTCAGGGACCGTCAGGTAAGAAAAGAAAACGAGAGTTTAGAAAGCATTTCAGTTTAATACAATTCTAAATAATGGGGATGGTTCTACCGTAGTTGGGAAATTTTAGAGAATAACTTCCCCTGAGATATTGTATGAAAAACTTAACATTTAAGCTCCCAGATTCATGTCAGAAACAACTGATTTAAATCATGGCCAGACTAAACTTGCAATAAAAATAGATTGTAAACAATGATTTTATATTGAAAATATATTTATGATGAAAATGTATTGCAGACAATAAAAATATATGGCCTGGCAAGGCGTGATGGTGCCCACCTTGATCCCAGCACTCAAGGAGGCAGAAGCAGGCAGATCTCTGTGAGTTCAAGGCCAGCCTGGTCTACAAAGCAAGTCCAGGACAACCAAGGCTACAAAGAGAAACTCTGTCTCAAAACAACAACAACAGACATATATATATATATATATATATATATACGGCCTGGTATGGTGGTGCATGCCTGTTATTCCAGAACCCAGGTGGCTGAGGCAGAAAGATCTGAATTTGAAGCCAGAATGAGCTACATAGCTAGATTCTGTCTCCAAACAAACAAAAACTTACAACCCACAAAAGATAAAAAAGTTTTTAATCGGGAGGCAAGTCTGTTTCTAACAGTTAAAATTCTGTGTGTGAAGAATATAAGTGTTCTGGTCCACAGAAAATATGGAGAGAAAAGAAAGATGGTCCACTGAATTCTCTCATAGCCTGACTGCAGCACCCCAGATCTTTGGGCAAAAAAAGAGCTGTTTCACACTTTCTTGACACTTCTCAATTCTTGGATACCACGAGTCTTCCAGAAGTAACATGTGGTTCCGCTATGAACCTAAGGGTCTTTTCTGGCGCACGTGAGGGTGCGTGACCCTGGACGGTATCCGTCCTGTGGTCTGGCCTCTGTAAACACACGCAGGCTGAAGGCCGACCTCTGCACAGCAGCCGAACCCGGGGTCTGCTCTAAGCTGCGCTGACGATGGACCGTTCCGCAAGCCCCTCGAACCTCCATGCCGACCTGCACATGTCTCCCTTTCAGTCTAGTTCCGAGCATTGCTGGGTGTCTGGCCCAGCTCACCCCGTGCTGCTAGATCTTGTCCGGCCAACACAAAACCCTAAACCTGACACCTGTTTAGGGATTTTTGTGATCTGCTTAATAACTCGCTTGTGTGGCTCCCAAGCTTGCAATGTGTGGATGACAACGTTGTTTTCTAGTGTCAAAAAGTTGACTTAATGTTAGCAGCATGCCCAACCTGTGGCGACCAAAAACATCTCCAAGCACGAGCCGGGGTACAAAAGCAAGTCTAATTCCGAAGCACAGTTTAAGGTAAAACGGGAGCTCTGGAACCAGCGATCCTGTGCTCACACCTCCTCCTGTTAGAAGTTGTCTTTCAGCAAGCTGCTTGGCTCCCCACCTTCGGTCTCATCACCTCTAGATGAGGATTACATATGCATGTATGTGTGCTGTGTGAGTTTGTGTGCAGCACGCATGTGCAGGTGTCTGAGGAGGACACCAAGCTCCCTGGCGCTGGAGTTAAGGAGTCTGTAAGCCGCCTGCTGTGGGTGCTGGGAGCTGCGCCCCGGTCATCTGCTAAAGCAATAAACACTCAGCCACCCAGCCCCTCCCCAGCCACGGCAGGGTTGGTTTGTTTGTTTAAGAGTTATTATTTTTACTTATGTGTTTGAGTGTGTCTGGGACACGTGTGCAAATGCCAGTAGCCGGGATGAGAAAGGGCATCAGATCTCCTGGAGTGGGAGTTTTAGGTTGTCAAATGTAGGTGCTAGGAACTTGAGTCCCCTGGCAAGGCAGCAGGTGTGATTATCTGAGCCAGCTCCCCGAGAAGATGGCGGCAGCGCTGGTAGCAGGGCCTCGCTGCGTTACTCTGGGTAGCCTGGCACTCAGCAGGGAGACCCGGCTGTCCTTACCTCATGGCGGTCTGCCTGTCTCTGAATTCCTGCTGCTGGGATGAGGGACACACACCACCACAACCTGGCTGCTCCCGAAGAGCTTGCAGAGTGAGTCTCAGCATTTTTAATTCTGTGAACTGGCATGTGGGCACAGGAGTATGAGCGGGTGCTCCTCAGCTGCCAGATGTGGGGGCCTGGCAACAGCTCAGGTCCCTGGCAAGAAGACACCCATACAACACACCCATACACACAACGATACACACCCTTGACCACAGAGCCACCTCTCCAGCCCCCACTGTAATAGTATCTCACCAAACACATCTTGTGAGAAGTAAATAAATATATGTGAAAAAGCCCTTAAGTCAGCTCAGGAGTGGGCTTAATAACTTTAGACCATTACCATTTATTTCATGTCCTTAGCCACTTACTTCCTGCAAAATTTCTTGTGTGTGCACACGTTAGGAGCTCTGTGGACGGGCGCCGTCCAGAATTTCCTTATGTAACTCAGGCTTCTGTGGAACCCTGAATCCTCCTGTCTCCATACCCCGCATGCTGGATTTACAGGCAAGTGCCACATGCACCCAGCTTGGTGTGGAGGTGAGGGGGTCAGGGCGGGTGGCTGGGAGACAGCGGAGCTTATGATGAAGGTCTGTGCTTGTTAAAACATGCTTCACTCTCATTGCTGCGGCCTGTGTCAGGACGATGGAACACAGAGACCAGGTCACACTCAAGTGGCCTGAAGGTTACCTACCACTTAGACCACATTTTAGTGTACAGGTAAGCGGTGTCCCTGGGGCTGCACTGTCCAAAGCACAGCTGCCGTCAGCCTAGGCCAGATCCTCGTAGGCCCGCTCCCCTCACGCCCAGCCTCTATCGGCGTCAGCATGCCTTCGGTCTCTACACTTGGCTGCCCTGGGTACCCCAGATAAACGGAGTCACAGAGGCTTTGGGCTTTTGTGTCCAGCTTGCATCATTATCACTGAGAAGCATCATGTGGCACTTGTTGGGATTTCTTCCTTAAAAGGAAGAAAGTTGATCCATTATTGCCTGTGTCTCCAACACCTAACCCAGCCACTGGCGGGCAGAGAGGTTATTCTCACATTTTGGTTGCTAGAAATGATTATCCTGAATGTGTGCCCTAATCCCCCATGCTGAAATCGGGCTCCTAAATGAGTGGATTAGGATGTGGGGCCTTTGGGAGGTGATGGCGTCATGGCCTTTATGACGCTGACCCCGGAGAATTCCCTTTCTCATTCCGTCATGGGCCGTGACCGTGAAACGACAGCTGTCTGTTCCCTCTTGCACACAGCCCACCTACACTGTGGCCACATGGCCCTTAGGGCTGGGGCCAATCCGCCACCTCTCCCACAGCATCTGTGCCCACAGCCTGGGCTGGACACAAGGGCCAGCACTCTTTAGGTTGAGCATTAGGATATCTGGTCTCCGGATTTCCCGGTGTGATGGTGAAGACTGTTCTCCCAGAGCCTAAAGTTCTTTCTCCCCAGCCTCAGGGCTTTTCAGAGAGCAGCTACACCTTTAATGCTGAATCTGTGAATCCGTGAGGTTAACAGCTAAGCTTTGCTGACCCGTGGGTTAGGGTCCTCGATTTTATTTTATGTCTCTGTGTGTGTGCACATCTGAGTGAGTGTGAATGAGTGTGTGAGTGGAGTGTGAGGGAGTGTGACTGTGTGTGTGAGTGAGAGCAAGAGAGCGAGTGTGTTTGTGTGTGTGTGTATATCAGACTCAGGTGATGGTGCTTGCACAGCAAGCACTTTTGACTGCTAAGCCATCTAACTAAACCCTTAAAGTTTCTTTAAGATAATGTTGCAATTTTGTAACTCCCCCCACCCCGATTAAACATGAATGCATACACATGCAAGCATAATCGCTTGCGTGCGTACTCAGTCTCTCTCACACACACAATCACACAAATCCAAACAGTAATAGCTCATTAGCTGATGCAATACGTCCAGAATAACACCGAGAGGTGAAGTTTCTTGTTGAAACTTGGGACACAACCGCTTCTCAGATAAGCGGGTCCAAAGGACACCTCCTGCTGGGCTCCCTGACCTGTCAGGCTTGTGATAGCTGGAAGCTGGCACCGAGTCAAAACCCCAGGGTGTACCTGATTTGTCAGGGGCCACGGGGAAACCTGCCTCTCCTCCAGCAGCCCATAATAGCCAGCGGAGCTCTGGGGGAGCTTTGTACAGAAGCTGTGAGGGCAGGGGAGGGGGCACAGCCATGCACCTCATCCTGGACCTTCTCCTGCTGGCGTGCATCGTCGTCTACTCCTACCTGGAGTCTCTGGTGAAGCTGTTCATTCCCCGGAGGAGAAAGTCTGTGGCCGGCCAGGTCGTCCTCATCACCGGGGCTGGGCACGGGATAGGCAGGCTCACTGCTCAGGAGTTTGCCAAGCGGAAAAGCAGACTGGTCCTGTGGGACATTAACAAGGTAACAGATGTTTCAGCCACCTTGTAAGCTCACAAGCTAATGGGGCACACGGGTCTTTAGTTATCCGACTTAGCATCAGCTTCTCTTTGGGTTTTCTGTTTTCAAGTTTTAATCAATCCCCCCAAGGCCTTGCTAGACCCTGGCAGACGGGAGGGCTGGATGAGCAAGTTGAAGAACGAAGCCATAGGGTTTTTTTTGTTTTGCTTTGTTGTGTGTTTGTTTGTTTGTTTCTATCATGATGTACAAGTTGATAACGAGAGATGAAGGAGCCAGCAGGCTTCCACGCTGCTGAAATCAGGCAGGCCACATAACTTATCACAACTTCAGCTTTAAAAAATAAAATCTCTGCAGTTGGGATGACACCTCACAAGGAGACAAAAACCACAGATCATTATCGCTAATGGACAAGATTGGCCAATAGTCTATTGACCTAGGAATGACGTTTATCCTCTTAAAAATCTATTTGTTCTGTTTTTCAGTTGTTCCTTTCTGTGATGGAGCCTAAACCCAGGCTCTGCACATGCCAGGCAAGCACTCTTCCACTGAGCCCCAGCCCCAGCCCTAGCCCCAGCCCGGTGTTTACACATTGGAAGGGTTCCCCAAACAAAAACACACGAAGAACTTAGAGCAGAAACCCGTGGTGCCTCCACAAACATGCACTCAAAATCCTGAAATACATCTGATCTTCTGCAGAAGAAAAAGAGTTGCCCTCTCTTGAGCAAGAAGAGTAAGTAAACAGCACTTCAAGCACTTAACACGTGGGGCACGCAGAGCTGCTGACCTCTTGCTTATTCTCCAAATGCTCTTAACTGCCCTTAAGTCCAAAGAGACCGAAGTCTTGTATCACTTTCCCCTAAACATGTACATTCCCACAAAGCTGTGAGGATTCGTGCTGCCAGAAAGTGTCTCTGGGATTTTCACATTTCAAAAACTGGGCTGGGAATGTGGCCCAGCCATGCAGCGATTATCTAGCGTGTGCAAGGGTTTGGGGCCCAGCACGAAAGGAAATCATACTTCACATGGTAGCTCAGACTGGAGAACTCCTGCTTTCGTCCCTTATTTATTTATTTGTTTGTTTGTTTGTTTTTGTTTTTGAGAAGCAGAGTTTCCAAAGCTTTCCTTGTGGTTTGGCTCGAGGTAACCCTCTTTCATGGTCTCTTCTGTCTGCAGTTAGCCCCCATTTTCCGAGGCCTTCACAGATGGTCGTGGATGTCAGGAGCTAAGTCTGCCCTGATTCACCAGGGTAGGGAAGAGCCCGAGCAGTGCTGTGCACATGCATTTAGCACGCACAAACGTTTGGCCAGATGACTAATGCGTGGAACATAGAAAGGCTTCCAAGATTAGCAAATCCTGCAGAGGTCCCAGGGGGGCTTCTCGGAGCTGAGAAGACTGAGTTCCATAAAAACTGACACTCATAAGCTGTAGAGGCAAGACTACATCCATGAAGATCCTTGAGGTCACCTCCCAAGAGTGTCTGGGGGGAGGACAGCAACACTCAGCACACTTCTTTTAACTTGAAATTTTTCAGACCCCCCCCCAAAAAAAACTAGAAAGAGGTTGTATTAAAGATGGCTTGTGTGTGTGTGTGTGTGTGTGTGTGTGAAGACCAAGTAAGCCAACCTTGTAAATCTCTTTGAATTCTTGAACTTCATGTTTAAACATTTCGGACATTACATGATTGGCTCCAAAGCAGTACTCGTAACTCCGGTTTCCCCTGTTCACCGAGGGTCCTGCTAGCTCTCCTGCTGGCTCCTTCTCCTTAAAAGGTGAAAAGCGGGGCACAAACACTGCTGCTGAGGAAGGTCGCCCGAGGGTGTTGGGGGCACAGCAGGAAGGATGAAACAGTAACAGCATGCATGCTCATGAAATTCTCAACCTGGGGGCCCGAGAATAGAGGGAGCGTGGAAAATGTGGCTTCACCCACGGGACACGATCAGTCTTTTTGAAGGGTGACAGCCATTCTGTTCAGAGGACAGAGGGGGAAACTAAGTCAGACAAGGCAGACTCACAAGGGGAAGGACCGGCCGGCTGGGGCACTCAGCTGTGGTCCTAGCACTGGAGTGCCAAGGCAATCAGAAGCCAGCGATGGCTACAGATGCAGTTATAGCAAGACACGGAAGAGGGTAGGAGAGGACAGTGAGCCTGGGTACTGCCATGCCTCGTGCACACGTGTGGAAATGCCATCACAAAACATACTCTTTTGCACACTGGTAAAAAAAAGGTCACAGGCATCAGTAAAGCGCAGGGCGCAGAAGGGGTTTCCTGTGCAAATGTGACAAAGAACCACATTCTGCCTTCTTCAGGTCAATCATAAGGACGGAGGGTTTCTAAGTTTTCAGCAGTGTCTATTAGTCATGCACAATAGCCTTTCACACATGTGTATTATGATCATATTCGCTGCTCACACCCATTGTCATCTCTTGTCCCCCCTCTTGCTGATCCCCTTTCTAACTGTTCCGCCTTGGCCTTTCATGTCCTCCGTATGTGTGTGAGCAATGAGCTTAATTGGGATTGTTAGCACGAGCTTGGATGAGGGTTTATTAGGCTACTGAGGAAGGCAGCACTGAGAAATTGTTACTTCTGCCGCCAAACCACCTACCTGCCCGAGGCTCTGGTGACTGTCACTCTCTCCAGAACCCAGGGCTAGATGAGTGAGAACAGCAGCTGGGCCAGGCCAAGCCAGCGTCAGTGGAAAACTCTCCCCCTCAGACCACTGCTGTGTGCCACACCCAGACGGCTGCTCTGTGCTGCAGCTCAGCTCATGCCCACCTGAAGGGACAGCTAGTTTTGTAGCGACATCCTACTCTCGCTAAAGTGTGTTCTGTGAGACTTCGATTGCTGCTCTGTGGTTTGAGGAAAATACAAAGGGGCACGAGGGAGACAACCAGAGTAGGCCCTGCATGATGGCTGCTCTGTTGCCATCCCAGTGTCACAGGAAAAGGCTTCCTGGGCATTTGCACAGAGAAGTGGGGACAACCATGAGGAAGAAGTATGGTTTTTAAAAAAAATTAAACCTCATAATGTTCCCTATAAAATCAATAGGTATTGAAACTTGGAAAGAATTCAGACTTCCCAGAGATGGAGATAGATAGATAGATAGATAGATAGATAGATAGATAGATAGATAGATAGATAAATAGATAAGACAGCCAAGGGTGATGGCTCACACCTGTAACTGGAACACTCAGGAGGGTGAGGCAGGAGGATTGGCCTGATTGGAGAACACATAGTAAAACAACACGAAAGAACACGCAGACACACACAAACACACACAAACATACATACATACATAGACACACACACACACAAATATACACACACGGATGG